AGCAAAGTGACAGTGATGAAGTAACGAAAATAATTTGATGGTTGGGGGTCACCACAGCATGAGGAACTGTATTCAAGGGTTGTGGCATTAGGAAGGCTGAGAACCACTGTGCTAGAACGATGGGTCTAGAACTTCCATTTCCTTTCAATCAAGAGCACCTGAGAGGCCCACTTTGTTAATACCTAACCAATACAATTTTGATCCTTTGCCCTGGGAATAGTTCTCGGTTGTGGCTTAATGAAATGTGCCCAGTAAATCTCTTCTGCTGTCTTAGCTGGAAAAGAAAAGATTTAGTCTGGGAAACCCTGTCAAGTACCCTACATACTCGAGTATAAGCCGACCTGAATATCAGTCGAGGCACCTAATTTTACCACAAAAACTGCGTTTAAAATGTGCTGAAAAACTCGGCTTCTACACAAGTATCTAAGGTAGGTTTACTCTTGTACTCAAGTCGGCCTTGAAAACTGGGTCTTGTGGTTACTTCAGAACAGCCTCATTTCTGGACAGGTTCATATCTACACGTTCAGGGGCTAAATATCAACATAGATTTTAGAAGGGCACACCTTATAAGAAGCATAAGGTGGGCAAATGATTTGTTTTAGGAAGATTTGTTCCAACATGGTAGAGTTGAAAGATGTAAACGAGGATGTGTCCAAATGCTATACCACTCCATTAGCCTGATATTAACCTCTCCTCTCCATTGTATATTCCCTCACCTCCCTACAGTTCTGCAGTTGAATTTGCTACAGTGCGGCCTAGAACTCATGAATTATTAAGGAAACGGCTCACATAGTTGTGGGTGTTGGTAGGTCCCAAATCCAAGGCTCCGATGTCAAGCTGGAAGTCTGCAGCCACAAAGAAAAGTTGTTGAAGTCAGGTCAGGTGATAGGTCGGACATGAAGCTTCAGTGAGGCAAGCCTGATGCAGGATCCAGAGCAAAAAGAAACATCTAAAGGGGAAGGCAGCTCTCACTTGCTTCTGCACATAGGAAGGGGTGGCCCAAAACTGGCTTTGATGAAGGTGTGCTTTTTGCCTTCTGCCAACCTTATCCTCAAGGAAATAAAGGGTGGTGACAAATGAGATGGAGTCTCAAAAATACATCCCACCTTAATCCTGTTTCATCTGTACTCCCTCCACGATGGAATTCTATCCCCAGGTATAGAAGCTAGAATTTACAAGCATATGGCTGCTGCTGTTAAGTACCATCCAGTTGATTCCAACCCATCGCAACCTTACACACAACAGCACGAAACACTGCCCAGTTTGGTGCCATCCTCACAATTGTTCCTATGCTTGAGCCCATTGTAACCACTGTGCCAATCCATGTCATTGAGTGAGGGCTTTCCTTTTTTTCGCTGTCCCTCTACCAAGCATGATGTCCTTCTCCAGGGACTGGTCTCTCTTGACAACATGTTCAAAGTACATGAGATGAAGTCGTGCCATCCTTGCCTCTAAGGTACACTCTGGCCATACCTCTTCCGGGACAGATCAGTTTGTCTTTTTAGCAGTCCATGGTACTATGGTACTG